AAAAAAAAAAAAAAAAACAAAAATGCTGTGCTCTCTGCTAAGAAAAAAAAAAAAAAATAGAAAAAGAGGGAGTAAGAGAGATAACGAACAAAGTTCGTAGTCACTACGATGACTTATAACAGAGCCGATAAGTCCGTCATATCGGATTTCGCCGTGCTTTGCAAAAGTATAGAAGAAGGTTTGCAATGTGAAACGCGAGAAATCAAGGGAACTAAAAAGAGAGAGAGAGAGAGAGAGAGAGAGAGAGAGAAAGAGAAGTAAGAATCCTGTGAACGAAATGCAAACTCGCGACTTTGTTCGTGACTTCTCAGAATTCCTCTTTCTTATACTTCGTTAACTGGAATCTTCTAACTTGCGTTTTTACTTCTTTTTAAATCATTAATATTTTATTTTCAAGAGAGTAAGGAATTAAAGACGAAAGATAAATTATATTTAGATGCTTTTATGGTATTTGTATACTGCGTTATATCAAAATTGTACTTGTAAACACCTTGGGTACATTTGTTAATTGACAATATGATTCATTTTGTTCTTGTTTTTGTATTAACATTATAGCAATATGACGAGTCTAACTCGTTATTCAAGTTTGAAAATTTGTTATAATAAATATATCTATAATAATCATACTAATAAGTCTAATTAATTAAATAAAATATCATATGTCAGAAATGATTCGAGTATTGTAAGAAAAAATTTGTCTATCGCATGAAACAAGATTACAAATTTTTTTGTTTTTTTTTGTTTGTTAAAGAAAACAAATAACAAAGAGATCTATTTGTATAGAAGAATTTTAATATTTAAAATAAAAATAAATTGGAAGAGAGCAAATCAACGATGGAATAATAATTATTCTGTTGTTGTCTTTAAACATTTTTCTTATAAGATATATTTTAGAGTTACAGATAATAGATATATTTTACATTTACATTGAACAAGATAGAAACGTTGTTAGGTAATAATACGATCGTTGTACATGTCGTCGTCTCTTGTAGTCAATGTTATAAAGGTAGATCTATCCACACCGTCATCGTCTTATTCAACTAAACCGGTAGTTCACTATTCGACAAGTGTTTGTTGAATTATCGTTTCTCTGCTTACGGATGACTCCGATAC